AGGACATCCAGGGCTTGCTGTAGTAGGCGAACTGGTTTTTGATGGTGCCAATTTATATTGAGTTTTGTTGCTTATGTTCTTGAATTTTCCTTTTGCCATTTATTTATCTCTGGTGTTAACTGGCCTGGATTTTTCAGACTATAGCAGGCCTCCTTGGAGACAGGTAGAGCTTTGTGACCTTCCTTTGATTGGGTCTTCTGGGAGGCAGGCAGTGTTATCTCTGGTTAGGGAAAACCTCCCCTTTCCATGATTTATGCAACCGTCCTGTGTCCTTGTGTCCCTGTTTAGGACAGTCCTCCTGGGAGACAGACTGGCTTTGGGGTTCATGGCAGGCTTGTGGATTGTCCGTAGATTCAGGTGGGGGTGTAGATTGGAAGTTCAATGGGGCTCATGCAGATAGATTCCATGTGTGCTGGGTTCTGTGTGTGTGTGGGTCACAGCTAGAGTGGATATTGGGGAGGGGGTCTCACCTGTGTTTCTAGCTATGGCAAATCTCTTGTGAGAAAAGCAGGGTGTGCATGGTGGGAGGCACATGCTTCTTCCATTGGTACAGACACTATAAGTCCTTCAAGTGTAAAATTTATATAGAATATAGAGATTCCTTTTTTGGGTATTCTTATTATTATGGCTCATTATATGATGCAATGAAACCTTGAAGTGAATATAGGACTTTTTATTACAAGCTAGGTTTAATGGTTTGAACACTTTAAAGAACATCTTACAAGAATTAACTTCAGCAAACCTGTGTGGCTATGTAGTAATTTGAGTCTTAATGAGTAGCATGTCATGACAATTATGACACATTGTGTGAAAATCCTATTTAAAATTAAGAAGTAATCAGTCAGATTTTTTTCATAGATTAAATGGAATGTTCATTTTCTACATAAGTCAGGGTAATTATAACTGAATGAGATATTCATAAATTGTAAGGAAGAAACTGAAGTTATGATTTTGGTATGTGGATGTACGATGGCCATCACATTGTCTTGCAAATACATGTGGTTAATCAATGAGATATTTGATATTTATAATCTCAGTCATTGAAGGTGAATTCTTAATATCAACATAGAGTGATAACTGTAGATACTCATAACTGCTTCAGTGCTTTGAATAAATCTTGCTTCTGTGTTGAGTCACACCAAGTTTCAAGTGGTTTAAGAAACAACAAACTGCATCCAACTAATGAGAAACAATCAGTACAAGAAGCGTATTTTTCCTTTACAGGAAACATGAAGATGCTTCACTGGAGCGAATCAACCAGTATACCTGACTTGAGAAGTTCTCAGTGCGGAAGAAGACTTCACCACCCACGCCTCCAGGGTGGCTCTATAGGACTCTTGGTTCCTTGATTTATGATTTAGTGGTACATTGTTTAAACCCTAGAGAAAACCCATTACCATAGTTACTATAGTTGTGTTTTAGGTTTGAGATTGATTGGGGCAGGAATAGAGATTTTCTTGTTTTGTTAAGATCAAAGCTATGATCAGTTCTGTACTTATATAGATTAGATTTAGAAAATAGTGTTATAGAATAGAAGAGGCTTATACTTTTTACTCCTCCAACAGAAGAAGTTATGTACTACCCTTAAAAAGAGTGTTGCATTTGCGCTAACCATTCAGGCATTGCTAAGTCTCTTGTCTCTCGGGTTCATGCTGCTCAACAAACTGATGGCTTTTGTACTACAACAGATAGACGTTACACAAATGAAACCCATACAGGTCCATTATTACAGGCTGGAAGTAGGGGACTAAAACCTCTGTCATCAAGACTGACGAGGATTAACCCTTAACTTATGCGCTAAGCCGGATAGTCAATGACGGGTAAGAGAACACCTCAAGACCCTTGCCCCTAACTGGGAGGCCTCACCATCCTAAGACAGGAGCTCAACCAATGGCTGTTGAGTATCCAGAGACGGGAAAGGGAGGCTGGGGTCTTTTGTTCCAACCTAAGGCAGGCACGGTTTCCGTAAGTTTTCCCAGCCTTCCCTTTTGAAAACAAATTAAAAAGGGGGACCTGTTGGGAGCCGACTCTTAGCCGAAAGTGGCTATCATCTTTACAGCCATCTCGAGCCATATACTCTGACAAGAGACTTGTTTCAACAGCCTGCAATAGCTGAGCGCACTCTGATAAACATCTTGTTACACTGTTTAGTGCCCCCAGCTGCCAGGTGCTCCTGGTATCCATGTCTACAAGGCACGTGACGTAGTGGCTTCAGTTGAGATTGTCCACGAGGGCAAGTCACGTGGTAAAGGGTATAAATACCCGGATTTCCTTTCTATTGAGGAGTGAGGAGTAGGAGGTAGAAAGTAGGAGGTAGTAAGTAGTAGGAGGTAGTAGGAAGTAGGAAGTAGAGGAAGGAGTGAGAAAGTGAGAGGTGTCAGGAGACTGAAGGAGTGAGAATATAGTAAGAAGAGAGGAGAATAAAGAAGAGACTTGAAGAGACGCCACCAGACTCTGTCTTGTATCTATCTTTTGCGTCTCTCTCCCCTTTTTTCCCCTTCCTCCGTCCCCACTCTCTCTCTTGCTAGACCCTGACCTGCCGACCGGAGCAGCAGAACCGGCCGGCCTTTACAAAGTAGCAGAACCCGACGGCCGTTACAAAAGAAACGGCAGTTACAAAGTGGCGCCCAACGTGGGGCAGCAAGAACCAGAGACCCAGTGAGGAACGTTACTGGAAGGAGGATCGACTGAAAATTCAGAGATGAAACAGAGGTGATTGCCACAGAAAACTGCCGTGTGGAGACCAGTAAGTCATAGTAATAATGGGGCAAGAAATAAGTCAGCCTGAACTCAACTCTCTGTTTTTGTTCTGTTGCTTGCTGTTTACGTGTATCAATTGTCTGCTTTTGTTTCGCTGTTTAAATGTTGCCTTTCATGCCCAAAAGAAAAAAACACATAGAATCCAAAATAGGACCAAAGGTTGAAGTAATCAATTTGTCAGAGCCAGATTGTGCTGACCTAGAGGAAGAGGCAGCCAAATATTTTAATCCTGAATGGCCTTCTTCCCGAAGGCCCCCTCCCTGTGATCCTCCACCTCCAGATGCTCCTGCTATGGAGATGGTGGTTGAAGATCACAGAAAGGAGTTGCAGGACAAAATTTCTTTTCTTAAACAACAAATTTCTCTCCTTAAACAACAAATAGAGTTAGAGGAAGAGTATCAGGACTTAATTAATCAGATACAAAAATTAAAGACAGGGAAGAGGTCTCGAGAGGGCAAGGAAAATTCTTCAGGTCCTCGAGTTTCTCAACCTGGATTCCAAAGGCAGCCCCTGTCCTCTGGTTTTAGTTCAGCCACAGATCAGCCAGAGGAGAGAGAGGCTGAGGTTTTCCCTGTATCAGAGACTAGAGATGCTCAAGGAGTTGCGTGGAGACATCACACAGGGTTTAACTTTCAAATTATTAAAGAATTAAAAAATTCAGTGTCACAATATGGTGCCACTGCTCCCTTTACTCTTGCAATCTTAGAATCTGTTGCAGAGGAGTGGCTGACTCCTGGTGATTGGGATACTCTAGTGAGAGCAGTTCTTAGTGGTGGTGACCATCTTATTTGGAAATCAGAGTATCATGAGAATTGTAAAGAGACAGCTAGGAGAAACATTCAGGCAGGTAATGGTTGGTCCTTTGATGCCTTAGTAGGAGAAGGGCAATTTGCTTCTAGTGATAACCAGATGCAATATGACCCAGGCTTATTCGCTCAAATTCAAAATGCGGCCATGAAGGCTTGGCGCAAACTCCCAGTAAAGGGAGACCCTGGTGCATCTTTGACCTCAGTCAGACAAGGGCCTGATGAACGATTTTCTGATTTTGTTCATCGATTAATGACAACAGCATGGAGGATTTTTGGTAATGTAGAGGCAGGTCTAGATTATGTGAAACAACTTGCATATGAAAATGCCAATTCTGCCTGCCAAGCAGCCATGAAGATCTTTGTTTTCAAGGCCAATCAACTGAACAAACTCCAGCAGTGAGGAAGTTGGAATACAGAAATCTGATAAGAGAATAAGGGGCAGTATGTTCTAGCAACAGCAAGCAGCAGAAATAGGTGGCTTCTGGCATTAGCTTCAAGAATAGAAGGGACTACTGGGAAAATTGATGCTGGTTAGCTGGACCTAAGAAATTAGCATTGCTAAAGAAGAGACCAGCATCAATGAGGTGAAATCTTCTGGTAAGTGTTTTCTCAGATCACAAAGAAGCTGTGTTCCAGAGATAGCCAAGGTTATCACTTGTGTTGCAGCTGGTTTGGTAACAAGTAAGAATGATCTAGGTGGTATGGGTTTTGAAGGTATGAAATGTTCATGGAGAGCAGGTAAGGCTTAGTACTGTGATATGCCAGGGTAGGCCAGTGGTGAAGGTGCAGTCTCAGTTGCAGTTGATGGCTAAGATATAAAGGATTCATGTAAAGAAGGTGAGATTTTATTCACCATGAAGAGAGGCTATTGGTGAAGCCTAGTTGCATGAGAAGTCCCCATAGAATTGTAGATGCCAGGATCATGCAATGTCTACTAAGAACAGCAGCAGCAGTGGGGTGGAGTCTACCAGAGACTAGAGTGCTACAGAAGGCATGGCTGGAGAAGTGACACACAAAGCCTTTGGAAGAGCCCAGAAGATAATGTATAAATCTTAGACATTGAAACTAGAAGCAGTAAAGATGAAGTTGACTTGGAGTTCCCAAGATTTTAAAGATGCCTGGTTCTGTGTAATTAGAACTTGAAGACTATTGTGTAGGGACCTTAGTTTATAGAACTGTAATCTAGTTCATGCATGACATTCAGAGATAAAACAGCTCTTTACACATTGTCACAAATATAAAAATTACCATATAAGAGTGATGAAGTTGGGGGAATTCTTAAGGTTGATTCATCTCTAAATATCACTAATTTCTTAAGCTTATTTCAGAAAAGTTAGCATTTACATGTATCCTAGTGTGAAGTTTCTGCAATTGGAGAGAAAATTTCATGTTTCTAGCACTCTCCGAAATCATCCCTATGTCTTCTTTTAGAATACCAGAAAGAAGATACGAGTTTTTTCTGGTAATGTTTTTTGCTACTGATGAGATCAACAGGAATCCTTATGTTTTACCGAGCATGTCTTTGACATTCTCACACAGTGGTGGCATGTGTGAAGATATAGATGAATTTCTGGAAACAATATACTTATCACAAAATAATCCTTTGCATTTTATTAATTATGAATGTGGAATACAGGGAAGATGTGGTGTAGACCTTATAGGACCATTATGGACAACATCCTTAAAACTGACAATTGATTCTAGATTTCTGAAGGTGAGAATGTGTGATATTGGATGAATTAACAACTTTTTACTCTATTCGTAGGTGCCTAAAGGAGAAAACTTGCTTGGCATAGGTTTGTGTGTGTGTTCTTTTTTATATGTTATCCATTTATTATAAAGGATTAAATAATCAGATTTTTGATGCATTGAGAAAACAGTTAAGTATGTTTTTATAACATGGTGACTTCTCAGGAATAGTCTAGAATCTAATAGGAATAATATATGATATTTATAGTGTAATCTTACTATCCTCAATAGGAATTCTGAAATGTGAGTAATGTTACTTGTATATACATCCAAACTTTCTGACATACATATTCCTTACAGGATGTTTCATCATCTTTCTATGTCCTCTAGGTTTTCTTTGGACCATTTAATCCTAACTTGAGTGACCATGACCAGTTTCCCTATGTCTATCAGGTAGCAACCAAGGACACACGTTTGTCTAATGCTATGGCATCCTTGATGGTTCATTTTAGATGGACTTGGATAGGACTTGTCATCTCAGATGGTTACAAGGGCATTCAATTTCTCTCAGACTTGAGAGAAGAAATGCAAAGGCATGGGATCTGTTTAGCATTTGTGAATATGATCCCAGAAACCATGCAGATATACATGACAAGGGCTAAGATATATGATAAACAAATTATGGCATCATCAGCCAAGGTTGTTATCATTTATGGTGAAATGAACTCTACCCTAGAAGTCAGCTTTAGAAGATGGGCATATTTAGGTGTTCAGAGAATCTGGATCACAACCTCACAATGGGATGTCATCACAAATAAAAAATATTTCAGTCTTGATTTCTTCCATGGTACTGTCACTTTTGCACACCACAACAATGATATTACTAAATTTAGCAATTTTGTACAAATAATAAACTCTTCGATGTATCCAATAGACATTTCTCAGATTATGCAGAAGTGGAATTATTTTAATTGTTCAATCTCTAAGAACAGCAATAGCAAGATGGATCATTTTATATTCAACAACACAGAGGAATGGTTAGCACTGCACAAATTTGACATGTCCCTGAGTGAAGAAGGTTACAATTTGTATAATGCTTTGTATGCTGTGGCCCACACCTATCATGAACTCATTCTTCAAAAAGTAGAATCTCAGCAAATCAAAGAATCCAAAGGAATATTCAATGACTGTCAACAGGTAAAAATTTTTACATTTCATTATGCTTAGATTTTTCAGTGTGATCTTTTAAGTGGCCCTCAGAAACTCACATATATTTCTTAGAGAATATTCTATCAGTGGAAAAACTTCTACACTTTAAAACTCCCTGTAGTAACCATCCTCATATCGAATAAAATCAAATTTCAACCAAACATTGTCAAAAAAGATAAGAAGGAGACTTCATTCTTGACAAAGGAAAAATCTACCAAGATGAACTTTCAATTCTGAATATCTATGCTCCAAATGCAAGTGCACCGAGATTCATAAAACAACTTCACTAAAACTCAAAGCACAGATTGCACCTCACACAATAATAGTCGGAGACTTAAACACTGCACTCTCATAAATGGACAGATAGTGGAAACAGAATTAAACAGAGACACAGTGAAACTAAGAGAAGTTATGAACCAAATGGATTTAACAAATATCTATACAGCATTTCATCCTAAAACAAAAGAATATACCTTCTTCTCAGCAACAGGCCTAGACAGATATAAGAAGATTGAAATAATCCCATGTATCCCTTCAGATCACCAAAGACTAAGACTGGTCTTCAATAATAACAAAAACAACAGAAAGCTGACATTCACGTGGAAACTGAAAAGCTCTCTACTCAATGATAACTTGGTCAAGGAAGAAATAAAGGATGAAATTAAAGACCTTTTAGAATTTAATGAAATTGAAGAAACAACATTACCTATCTTTTGGGACACAAGGAAAGCAGGGCTAATAGGAATACTCATAGCTCTAAGTGCCTAGAAAAAGAACCTGGAGAGAGCATACCCTAGCACACCTGAAAGCTCTAGAACAAAGAGAAGCAAATACACCCAAGAGATATTGACAACAGGAAATAATCATACTCAGGGCTGAAATCAACCATGTAGAAACAAAAAGAATTATACAAAGAATCAACAGAACCAGGAGATGGTTCTTTGAGAAAATCAAGAAGATATATAAAACCTTAGTTATCCTAACCAGAAGGCACAGAGACAGTATCCAAGATAATAAGATTAGGACTGAATGGAAGACATAACAATGATAACTGAGGAAATTAAAAAAAAACATCAGATCCTATTCCAAAACCCTATATTCAACATTATTGGAAAATCTGGATGGAATGGATCAAGATCAGATAAAACACCTAATCAATCCTATATCCCCCTAAAGAAATAGAAGCAGTTATTTAAAGTCTCTCAATCAAAAAAAAAAAAAAAACAGTCCAGGACTGGATGAATTTAGTGAAGAATTTTATCAGACCTTCCAAGAAGACCTAATACCAATTCTCTTCAAATTATTCCACAAAGTAAAAGGAACACTACACAATATATTCTATAAAACCACAATTATGTTCATGCCTAAACCACACAAAGATCCAATAAAGAAAGAGAACTTCAATCCAATTTTCCTTATTAATACTTACACAAAAATACCACAAAAATTCTCACAAACCAAATCCAAGAACATATAAAAAATGATCCAACATAGTCAAGTAGGCTTTATCCATGGAATTCAGGGATGGTTCAAAATACGGAAAGCGGTCAATGTAATCCTCTATATAAGCAATATCAAGGAAAAAACCACAAGATCATCTCACTAGATGCTGAGAAAGCATTTGACAAAAGTCATCACCTCTTCAGGATCAAAGTCTTGGAAAGATTAGGAATTAAAGGCCCATACCTAAACATAGTAAAAGCAATATACTGCAAACTAGTGGCCAACATCAAACTAAATGGAGAAAAACTTAAAGCAATGCCACTAAAGTTAGGGACTAGACAATGCTACCCACTCTCTTCCTACCTATTCAGTATAGTACTGTATGCTCTAGCCAGAGCAATTAGACAACAAAAGGAGGTCAAAAAGATACAAATTGGAAAGGAAGAAGTCAAAATATTACTATATGCAGATGATAAGGTAGTATAGTTAAATGACACCAAAACTTCAACGAGAGAACTCCTAAACCTGATTTAAAAAAAAAAAAAAACCTTCAGAAAAGTGGCTGTATAAAAAAATTAGCTTGAATAAATAAATATTCTTCCCTTACTCAAAGGACAAACAGGCTGAAAAAGAAATTAGGGATATGACAACCTTCACAAATAAGATAAAATACCTTGTTGTGCCTTTAACCAAGCAAGTAAAAGATCTGTTTGACAAGAATTTCAAGTCTCTGGAGAAAGAAATCGAAGAAGAATCCAAAAGATAGAAATATCTCCTATACTCATGTATTGGCAGCAACAATATAGTAAAAATGGCCATCTTGTGGAAAGCAATCTACTGATTCAATCCAATCCCAATCAAAATTGCAACTCAATTCTTCATAGAGATAGAAAGAGCAATTTGCAAATTCATTTGGAATATCAAAAGACCCAGGATAGTAAAAACTATTCTCAACAATAAAAGATCTTCAGGGAGAATCACTGTCCCTGACCTCAAGCTGTAGCACAGAGCAATAGTGATAAAAAGTGCATGATATTCGTACAAATAGGCAAGATCAATGGCATAGAATTTAAGACCCATAAATGAGCTCCCATATCTATATGCTCATTTGATCTTTGACAAAGGTGCTAAAACCATCCAGTGGAAAAAACATAGCACTTTCAACAAATGGTGCTGGTTCAACTGTATGTCAACATGTAGAAGAGTGCAAATTGACCCATTCTTATCTCCTATTACAAAGCTCAAATCCAAGTGAATCAAGGACCTCCACATAAACCAGATACACTGAAACTAGCAGAAGAGTAAGTGGAGAAGAGCCTTGATTACATGGACACAGCAGAAAAGATCCAGAAGAGAA